TCAGCTCAAGGCTAGTGCTCTACCACTTGAGCTATAGTGCCACTTCCAGGAAAACGGTTCCTGACATTAAGGAAATGGTAAGATAGTGATAGAGAATTAGCACACAGAAGACTGGTTTGGTTTGGTTTGATTCCTGGATAAAGGTACTTCAACTGGTGAGACTGACTTTGCTGGACTTTGGAGGCCAAACCAAGGACCTCCATGGTGATATTGTGTGTGATATTGCTTCCCACTGCCACGATCAGGGCAGGGAAGCCAGCACGAATGGAAGAAAAGGGAAACGAGAGAAAATAAACAGAAGAAAGCACAACTAGAGGGAAAGAAGACAGGAGAAATAAGACAAGGAAGAGACGACTAGAATAGGTGTGATGAAAGGTCACTTGCCCTGCCCTATCCTCTGGTGACAGTGTCTGAAATCCTGGGGCTGAGTGCTTGCTGGCACCCTTCAGCTGGTCCCCATGGTCAGAAGTGTTTTTGTTTCTGCTGAATTACTATTTCTCACGAATATAAGAATCACCAGTATGTGCTTCATGGGTAGTTTCCCTTAACATTTCTTCAAACATGTCTCTTATATTATGTGTAAACAGGCTAAAAATACATGGAAATCCCCAAGGAGCTAAAGGCTAAAAGTTTTTCAGGACCCTAAGGCAAGTGGCCAAGTTTTTTTTTTTTTTAATTGTGAAAACACTGTACAGAGGGGTTACAATTACATGGGCAAGATAACGAGTACATTTCTTATCAAGCATTGTTGCCTCCTCCTTTGTTTCCCCTTCCCATCCCTTCCCTCACCCCACCTTATCCCCCCACCCTATCCTCCCGCTCCCACCAAAGTTGTAAAGTTCGTTTTTCGACATAACGACTTGTACATCTCATTGTTGCAATGGGTCCACCTGTATCCCCATTTAAACGATTTGTTTTTTCCCTTCCCCTCAACAAATTATCCCAACATCAAATACAGTGAAAGCAGGGGTTATACTGTGGGGAGGGACATACAAAGCAACAAAGAAATCATCTTATAAATGTGTTAGAAACAATTGCAAGAAAGAAAAAAATACATTTGAATACTTATCTCGGGGTTCATTTCCCTAACATCAACTTATCTGACCTTTTCTGCTTGCCTCATACATACACTGGTTATTACAAATAAGGAAACCATGGGACCTATGTTTCTTTGGAAGTTTAAGTAAGCTGGGTGCTAGAGGCTTTCACCTGTAATCCTAGCTACTCAGGAGGCTGAGATCTGAGGATCACAGTTCTAAACCAGCCCAGGTAGGAAAGGTCTATGAGACTCTCTCTCTCTTTTTTTTTGTCAGTTGTGGGGCTTGAACTCTGGGCTTGGGCGCTGTCCCTGGCGAGCGCTCTAGCACTTGAGCCACAGTGCCACTTCCTGGCCAAGTTTTTGATGGCCTAGTTTTAAACAGTGACACAGCTAGCCTAGTATGAATTCAAGGTATTCTAAAGGCTCTCTCCCTTTGCCCTGTCCCCTCTCCAAGCAAATACTTGTTCACTGAGGCCTGAAATTAATTTTTTTCCAGAGGACAGAGTTTTTCATTTCATAATAAGAAATCATTTTAAATGCACGTTCTCTCCCTTGAGTGAAGCAAAACATAGACTTGGACTCACCACCTGGAAGCATGTTGCTTGCTTTCCTAAGAGCAGGGCAGGGAGCCCAGCCTGATGTCAGGGAACAGACACTCCATTTGGAAGATAGTCAGGCACAGGAAGGGAGCTAGGACCAAAGATCTCAAATTGAACTAGCTGGGGTTGTGAAAAGATAGCTCTTCTGCTGACTCCTTCACGTGGCTCAAGAGAACAGCTATGAACTGACTTTGCTAAGTTCTTCAACTTCTCATCTTTCCCACCTGCCACTACACCTGTCCTGCCATACTCAGGACATCTTGAACTACTTCAAGGAACTCAGCTCGTAAATTTATCCCATCTCACCAGTCTCCCATCCATCCCTTTCTCCTGACCCATCCCTGTACTGTACATGAGCTATAATTTAGAAGCAACTTCCTCCAGGAAACTTCTCTGAACCTTCCAAGCTGAGCTGTTATCCACTCCATGTGGCCTCCAGGCATCTCTGTGACACATAATGGCACATATTACCTTGAAAGGGCATTTCCAGGTTTCTTGTCCGTTCTCTCTAGACTTTGATAATCATGATAATCATGAGTACCTTCGCGATTATATCCCAAGCATCTAGAACAGTGCCTAGAGCAGAGTAAAAATTCAATTAATGATTATTAAATAAGGAGATGAATTGCTTTCATTTTCCACCTATTGTCAAAGACAAAGAATGTAATTAAAGAAAAAATTTATCCAGAGATGTTCTACGGAACTCTTGCACATATTTCCTTTCCTCCTGAAAATCTACTGGAATAAAGAGAAACATATAATGAAAAGAATAAATTCATATTAGCTCTAGATTAAAGTTTAGCTTGAGATAAAACCAAATCTTAGTGGATTTTTTTCTTTTTCTTTTTTTTGATCCGGTCGTGGGGCCTGAACTCTGGACCTGGGCGCTGTCCCTCAGCTCATCAGCTCAAGGCTAGTGCTCTACCACTTGAGCCACAGGCCACTTCCAGCTTTTTTCTTTTTGCTTATGTGGTGCTGAGGAATCGAACCCAGGGCCTCGAGCATGCAAGGCAAACGCTCTACCACTGAGCCACCTTCCCAGCCCTAATATTTTTATTGTAACAAATTATCTTAAACATTCTTATCTCCACTTCCACTGATAATTCATCCAACAGTTTCTGAACCATGAATTAAAGTAAAAGCAGGAAAA